ATATATATATATATATATATATATATATATATATATATATATATATATATATATAATACTTATAATATTTTTAAAAAATAATTCGACATAAATATCTTTATTATAAATGTATGCTGGGTACCTTTCAATTGTTTGTGTGAAACGTTATATATGCAACACTTGTATGACGTTATGTAATGACCGTTTTAGTAACATCAGATATGTAACGTCATTAAAACGTTTCTCAATGCTCCAAAATGAAAGTTTTACATGACAAATACATGTAACGTTATATAATTAATGTCTTCTAAACGTTTCGTATATAACGTTCAGTTAACATTTTGAAATATTACTGATGACACATTATAAATGAAATGTTATTCAAATGTTGTAAAACGTTTAATATGAAACGTTACAAACGGAATGTTGCTTGAACATCGCGTAACGTTTCATTTAAAACATTATAAAGTTTTTTTAAGTATCGAAATGCAATGTTCTTGCGACGTTCCATTGACGTTAGAAATAAAACGTTTTACCAAAACTTTTATGCAACATTGTATTAACATTCATTATGAAACATTTTATATCAGATATATTTTCTCGAATGTAACGTCGTCTGAAAGTTTCAAGTTTAGTGGGAATATTCAAGGTACATATAAAAAATAAAACAAAATATGAAAAAATATGAAAGACAAATATTTATATATAAATAAAAAAATATTATATATATTCAATATATATTTTATATATATATATTTATTTATTTATTTATAAATAATAAAACCACCATTGCATTTCTTCTCAGAATTCACAATCATTTTGGGTAATTGGACTAGATTCCAAATAGATCCCAAGAAATTTTCTATACGGGACATTTTCACTGAAAAGCGGGAGTATGTTTTCCTCCGCTTGCGCGATTTATGTCACTCAGCTCGACTCGAGGTCGCGTCCGTTAGTGCGGTTAAATTAATCAGCCGTGGGAATTATAGCCAGTCTATCTCGCGTACCACGCGTAGAATAATTAATTATGCTCGATATTCTGACCACAAATGAGCCGGGTCGTTCCGATGTACTGTTAATAATTTATTGATTATTACAGTCAAAACGGACTGGGTAATATCGAGCGATGCGTTTTGCGGCTACGTGCGAAAATTGCGGCGTTAATGGTGTTCGATGCAATTATAATCGCTTGCCCCTCTCCCTGTCCCCCTTTCCCCCGCCCTCAACCTTTACCCATTGGAAACTTCACATCGCGAACATATCACGGCATTGAACTAAATAACGCATCGATCTTCTTATTGTTATTCTGTTGTAAGGTTCGATTACAATCGTCCGACCGTTCTTGAAAGTATAGTCGCAAACGTGCGTCGCTGTGACGTCTTCTGCGAAGCCATATGTTAGCGACAAATAATTAAAGTGCAAACTGCATCTGTCAAGATGCTCCTTGAATTCTCTCGGTTCGCCTTTGGTCTTTCGGTATTTATTGCCGCGCGTGGTTAAGTAAAACAGAATAAAGTAGAAGGATAAAGTCGATAGCGAAAAGAAATGTCGATGGAAATTAAGCTGATAAAATTTATTCGCTATACATACTTCACTTTGAAAGTGAGAGGCGTAGAAGGGGAAGAAAAAGGATGAGAGAGAAATAGAGAAATAGAGAGAGAGAGAGAGAGAGAGAGAGAGAGAGAGAGAGAG